AACTTGTAACCCCAAAACAACAAAAAAAGTATCAAATCTAAATAGTAACACAATTTGATAGGTAATTCAACCACAATCTGATACAAATAACTAGTTAGAAAGTTCCCAAAAATAGTGAAGATCGTCGACATTCCTCCTATTATATATAACATATATAGTGAAGATCATCGTGTTTTAGCTTTAGGCAATCCATGGTTTTTTGGAATTTCCAGTGAGCCATTATATATAGGGAAAAAGGACAAATATACCCTCGAACTATCGTATATGATATGCAGATATCCTCCGTTATATTTTTGGGACATTATTGCCCCTGCCGTCCAAAAACTAGAGCATATATATACCCTTTATAACACACATACATGTGTCATAATCTTATCCACCAATCCAACATTTATTAAAGGGAAAAAAGGACAAAGATACCTTCAACCTATCGTAAATGCTATGCAGATACCCTCCGTCATACTTTTGGGACATTAGTGCTCCTGTCGTCCAAAAATTAAAGCATATATGCTCTTCACTCTAACGGAAGACTAAATAGGGACACGTGGCACAATTTTATCCACCAATTCGATATTTAATAAATGTCGGGTCGGTGGATAAGATTATGACACGTGTATGTCCGTTAGTATAAAGGGTATATATGCTCTAGTTTTTGAATGGTAGGGGCACCAATGTCCTAAAAGTATGACGGAGGATATTTGCATACCATATACAATAGTTCGGGGGTATATTTATCCTTTTCTCCTTTATTAAATATCGAATCAACGGATAAGATTGTGTCACGTGTCCCTATTTAGTCGAGTAAAGGGCGTGCATATATGCTCTAGTTTTTGGACGGCAGGAGCACCAATATCCCAAAAGTATAGCGGATGGTATCTGCATACCATTTATGATAGTCTGGGGGTACATTTTTCCTTTTTCCCTTATATATATAGTTCTAGTACAATGTGATTTATAACATTTTTGTCTAGTCGCTCACAATTCATGAGCTTTGTTTAAAGTATATAAAAGATTCTAACTTGATAGAACCTTGTGCAGGTTAAAGGTAAAAATTCATATGATTTCAGCATAAATAACTTTAATGTAACATCTCGCAATTTGAAATAGCTAGCAAGAAGATAAGAATTTGAAATAATCATTTTTGGAAAGAATGAAAATCTGGAAATTTACTTAAGTTAGGAAAAAGGTGAGTTTTTGGTCAACTTCAAACGAAAACTCCTAGCTCAGGATGAGTTAGGTGCACTTATAGGTATGGTTGGAAATCTCTTGAAACGCTCTTTCCAACGCCGCCAAGATTGCACGAATCTGACTTCGTATGAGTGAGATACGCCCATTGGAAGTTGGGATGTTCAAATAAGGAAATGTCCAATCCGGATTTTGAAGGGTATTTCAGTCTTTTCCTTATCCAATTAATTTAATTCGTTTTAGTGAAATAATTAAGGGTCAAATCAGAATGAGATCAGTTTAGTCAATTGGAAATTCACACTAGGGTTTGGAGAAAAGAGAAAAGAGGAGAAAGGAGAAGAAAAGCTCAAGATTCGCCAAGAACGATCAATTTTGGTTATGGATTTGCCAAGAAATTCATCTTACAAGGTATGTGAGTCTTTCATAGCGTTGGGTTCATTCACCCACGCGCCAAGCATGTTTAGTTCAGTGAAATCCATCCTAAAAGAGTTTGAAAGTTGATGTTCTTGACATGTATTCTTGAATTCGAATGTTGTTTTTGAATTGTGATGAATTGAGGAGTTTCTGAGATCTTTTGAGTTAGGTTCTTAGGTTCATATGCTAGGTATCTAAATCTAAAGAGTTTTTGAGAAAAATATTCGAATTTAGGCGAATTGGGGCTGTAAAATGGAGAAGAAAAAAGCCGAGCGTCATCTGGAACGCAAGTCCGTGTCGCGAACTTGCTCCCCCAGTGACCAAAAAGTTTCTCCACCTCGCAGTTAAGACGCGGACTCCTCTGTCTCAAAATTTAATTTCGCCAGTAATTATTTAAAACATCTCCGCGTCGCGGACTTGTTCCAAGATGGTGATTTCGTGACTTTTCTCATGTTTAGCTATTTAAGATCATTCCTAAACATCATGTGATCCTTCCTATCACAAATCAAAATCCTTGAATCCATAATTCAATTCAAGGACTAGTTAAGAGTCAAGTCAAGAGCAGTTAAGATCAAAGTCTAGAGAAGATCTTAAAGTTTTCCAAAAGTCTTTTGCAAACATTTTAACTTTTTTTTAAAACTTAAGTTTTTGAGTTCAGTAAAGAGTAAAGCTTGAAGTTCATTTCTTCAAAATTATATGGGGACTATGTATTCCCAGAGGGTTTAAAATGTTTTTACATTTAAACAAGAAAGGAAACCTCGATTTCCAAAGAGCCTTCGGGCTAGTTTCATAAAAGAGTAAATGCTTTCATAATTAAGAAAGAGGCGAAACTTTGATTTCCAAGATAGCCTTTGAGCTAAGTTTTTGAGTAATTATCTCAAATCACAGAAAGAAATATGTTTTTAAACATAAAGAGCTAGTATCGTATTTTGGGAGTAGTATTGAGCACCGATATAGGGGAGCGTTCAGAGAATCCATAGCCCCTATAAACCATGTAGCCATCATAGGTAGAAAAGGGTCATACTTTTTAGATGAATCCTTTTCACATAGACTAGTGGATCCACTTAGTGAGTTAGGTCCTATACCCCCGGCAAGGTATAGGATGGTCCTTGGCACCGTGAGGTAAAGTGTTGTATCATCACTATAGCTCTTAAGTGATGGTTGTCGGTTAGAGAAACTCCCACAACAATATTTTGTATTTTTATATACATCAGCTTATTTGTATTTTTACACGCATCTTAGAGTTATATGTATCTTTGCCTACACACAGAGTTGACATCATGTTTTAAACAGTGTTTCTTTATATTGCACTTGTTTTTAAACTGCTTTATATTGAAATGAGTTCAGTTATGCTGAGTTGAGTTGAGCCAGGTAAGTTCTTCAGTTCCTTTCAGATTCTTTTCAAGCCTATGTTGTGTTTAGCATTCCAACTCGCATACTCGTACATTCAATGTACTAATGCCAGTTGGCCTACATCTTATTATGATGTAGACACAGGTAACCAGGATCAGCATCCAGCGCATCGTTGATCCAGTTGAGCTTCAGAGTTGTTGGTGAGCCTCCTGGCATTCCGGAGGATCCCCCTTTTTCATTATTTTATCATTTTAGTTCATTAGGATGTCATGGGCTTATCCCGACATCCATCTCAGTTGTTTTAGAGGCTTCATAGATATAGTCAGTCAGATGTTAGTTCATTCGTCATCATTTTGTTATTGGCTTATGTTCATATTTGAATTACCATTTTGGCTAAGTTAAATGTTTATTTTAAAACATCATAAGTTTAGTTTGAGATATGTTGGGTTATCTTATATTTGGATTCTCTTTCTTATGTCTAAGTCTTCCGCTGAGTAAGTAAGCCAAAGCAAGGGTTCACTTGGGGAGCAATGGTTCTCGAGTGCCAATCTCGCCCAGAGTGTAGGCTCGGGGCGTGACATTTAAACCCCAAGAGATATAAGAAAAGTACATTATGAAAATATATCAGCACAATATATTGTGTTATACTATACAACAAAAGATTACATGATCAACCATACATATGAAACTCAATGCAGTTTTATTCATACGATTTTTTTAGCAAGGTTTAGAATAGCAAGACTATTACTATTATAGATCTTGCCACTACGTACAACGGTTTTATAATATTACATGATGATTTGTTTTGAGGCAATTGGCTAATGGATCACTTATTCATGGCCTTCACCTGAAGGATTGTATCCCATCACTAGGAGGTTAATATTTGTAATGTGGAGGGTTATATTTTCCACCTGGAGGTTTGTATTCGTCACTATGAGGTTTATATTTGTCACTTGGAGGTTTGTATTCATCATTAGGGGGTTTATATTTTTCATATGGGGGTTATGTTTGCCACCTGGAGATTTGTATTCGTCACTGGGGGTTTATATTTGTCATGTGGAGGGTTATATTCGTCACTAGAAGGTTTATATTTATCGTGGTCGTGCCTCGTGGCACGGCAACAACCATACTATTGAAATGGTTCGTCAGTAGAGATGTTCCCACAGGTGCCCTTTTTTCCACTGGTACTATAATTCCTATTCCTATCCCTTCATTCCCTCTTTTGGTCTATCTACATTCCAGGAAATTCATACGCTCCGCGGACGGAGCAAAAAGTGGAGTCTTGGTCAGAGCAAGCCGCCTATTCTATTACCAGACATAATTGGGAGAAGCTCATCCGAAACTAGAGCTAGAAACGCTTTATTTCGTTTCGTTCCCGTTCTTCATTTCCTTCTTCTCGAATCCAAGGGGGACTTCTCATATTTAGAATCTTTCTGCGGTGTGCTCCGTTTACTATTCTTTGTACTTTCTTCTTTTTACCAGCGATAGGTCAGCGAAGCCTGAGCGGGTGCGGAGAAGGAAAGGCCAAACACTTTGGCCTAACGGGAATGAGCAACGACGAAATGAGAAGATGAGGTACCTCGGGCACCCCCATTTAGAAAGAAGGGTCGAAGGTTTTGGGCCTGTAGCATGTGGATGATTATATTTGTCACCTGGAGGTTTTATATTCGTCACTAGGATGTTTATATTTGTCACCTGGAGGTTTGTATTCATCACTAGGAGATTTATATTTGTCATGTGAAGGGCTATATTTGTCACCCGGAAATTTATATTCATCACTAGGGGATTTATATTTGTCACGTGGAGGGTTATATTTATCACCTGGAGGTTTGTATTCATTACAAGGAGATTTATATTTGTCATGTGGGGGGCTATATTTGTCACCTGGAGGTTTCTATTCATCACTAGGGGCTTTATATTTGTCATGTACACCTGGAGGTTTGTATTCATCACTATGGGGTTTATAACCTGGAGGTTTATACTCATCACTAGGGGATTCATATTTGTCATGTGGGGGGTTATATTCGCCACACCGAGGTTTATATTTGTCATGTAGGGGGGTGTATTCGCCACTTGGAAGGGTTGTATCCATTGTTATATGCACCACCAAGAGATTTATATCTGTTGTTATAATCGTCATGTGGGGGTTTATATTCACTACCTGAGAAATTATTTCCACCACGTGGAGGATAATATCCGCCACCAAAATATTTATATCCATTGTTATATGCATCATGTTCATCTCTGGAATATCCGTCAATGTCATTATATCCATTTTCGTATACAACATCCGATTTCATTGCTACAAATATTAAATATGAAATTTAAATACTAGCATAACATTGAATAAATGTCAAATAATTAGATAAGAAATCCAATATTTCAAACAGATAACTACTAAAAGGAAAAAAAAACAATAAACTTACAGGTCTCAGCCAGTTCCCTAGCTACAACCTCAGAGCTTATTATTGCAAAAATAACCAAAAAATGCCAAGAAACAAAAAATGCCTTGGAACCCATCATTTTTTTCCTTTTTCAAAACTTAGTTATCTTAATGAAAGGATGAAGAAATTAATACATAATTGGGTTATATTTATACTAAAAGAATTTAATGTATTAAAATTTGATAAACGGTCACTTATCACTTATCTTGTCCAACCACCACGCATAGATTATATTTCCTTTGTTTCAATTTATTTGTATTATATTTTTAGTTTATTTTAGAAAAGAAGGAAATATAGGATCACAATATTTATCTGCATTTCGAGTTTGTGGATTTGAATAAACACAAACTACTGCTCTAATTACTAATAAAAGACCTTAAATCTTACTTAAACATAAGCTGCTATAAGCCTATAACTATACAAAGAAATTTTTGAAAACTCGTTTAAAATACGTAGATTTTAAAAGTTTTCCCAAGTAGGTTCTAATTGCTCAAACAATTTTTATTGCGTTAGTTTTCTACTTCATATATTTGAAATATATATTGCTATATTTTTGGTGGTAGGTGATCTATAAATACCTTCTATTTTTAATTATACGTTTTCATATTTGAAATATTTAAGAAAAAAATTACTTTTAATAAGGAACACTATAATCCTAAAGTGGAACATTCCTGTTAGAGAGGCTAAATGATTGAATACATTTACAACGGCTAAGATTAAATCTTCTTCAATTTCTCAGCTTTGATCAATGGATTTGCCTTTGCTATAGCTTCTGTCCCATTGACTTAAAATCAAATGTGCATGCATGAACCTCTGGATACCTATGGGTCCCACAAAAAATGGTCCCACACCTACATTTAAATCCCATTAACCTTATTTTCTTCCTACAAATCAAACACCTATTCGACTGCGGCATCACAACTTGTGCCGCCGCAGCCTCCACTAAATCCGGTATCAAAACAATCGGCTCGACTATCATTTTCTCTGACACCGTTTTTCGAAGAAAAAAGAGTTTTATATATATATATATATATATATATATTTAAATTCATAACTTTAAAAATACAATTAGCTCAATATTAAGACAGTATTGTAACTGGGATTTTAGTTGCAGGTATAACAAGTGATATATATATATATATATATATATATATATATATATATATATATATATATATTTCTTTCTTTTTTTGTTAAAAGGGTTTGATATACCTCTCAATTCTGTCATTTAGAGCTGATATATCTCTTGTTATGAAAGTGACTCACATATACCCCATTGTTATACAAATGACTCACATATATCCTTTTCCTCTAACGAAAGTGGAAAAAAAATTAATTATAATTTTTTTAATTATTTTTTTGAAAAAAATATAATCCATATAGGGTATATTAGATCCTCCTCACTTAGAAACAAGGTGACAAACCAAATGAACCATGCATGCACATGAGTTGCCAAAATGCATCTTGCTTAAAAGCAATTGTAGAATAACCTAAAGTTTGAGACAACCTAAAAAAATATGAAACTAAACTCTAATTCAAAGACTTTATATACTAAATGTTATCCGTCGTTACATAATGTCACACATCTATAATTTGAATGATAAACCTACAAGAAAAGTAGGGTACGAAGTAGAGTTACTATGAAAAGATACTTGGGATATAAAATGAAATATGATTATTAAATGATAAATAAAGACAAAATGAGAACAAAATAGTAAGGTAACAATGCGACGTTACATAAAATGTATTGTTGTGACCTAACGGTGATTCAAACGATACGATAAAATAGAATTTAAATAACAATCAAAACAAACATTGTATTTAAATTAACAATACAATGAGTAACGACCATCCAAACAAGGTGTTAGGATCAATTCAATTTATGCCCATGCTTTTTCAGTACTAGAGGAAGACACTTCATTTTACTTCCTGTCTTTATCAATTCCAATACATTTAGCCTCTGCATCTTTGGTCTTTTCAGCATGTCAACATTGGTTAATAGTGTCCTAGCAGTTTACATTTTACAATGTCGACAAAACTGAGAAACGTTCTCGTATTCAAGTCTTTGAGTAAAACCTTTACACGGATTATTTTAGATTTTTTTTTTAATCAATATAACTTAATGATATTAACAACCAAATGGAGGGGGACATAAAGACTAACCTCCTTTTACATGTTAGGACAAGAAAGATCCTATCCTATTAAGGTTCTTGATCCAGAGATCTGCCACTTCATTCATGCTTGGTATAGTTTTATTATTTGTAGCGAAATTCATAGAAAGAGGAGTACCGAGGGGCCTTAGTTCCAAGTATGACAATGGAACGGTAAACCTGGTAGCAAGGGCGGATCTAGATGCAGCCAGGGGTTGGGGTTCACTCAAACTCCCTTCGTCGAAAAATCACACTATATATAAGGTCAAATTATGATTATGAATATATATATTAAAATGAACCACCTAAAAATAAGTAAGAAGCTTAGCTCAATGGATAAAGGAGTTCAAGAATTGGCCCTATGTCATGGGTTTGAGTCCCACACGCACACAACCATCTTATTTGATAATGAAAGCATAGTGTTTGAACTCATTTTTTTTAAAATTTTGTACACCTTTTGGCTTACGTGTCACACTCCGTGACTCTACGTAGTTGAGGCATATGGGAGATATTTAGATGCCACGTAAGCCAAAAAGGTGTACAAAATTACCAAAAAAAAAATGAGTTCATGGAGGTAATAAGACCTTAGTTTAATCAAAATGTGTCTCTGAGATTTCGATCATAATTTATGGGGTACTTGTGCATTATCCCTAATTTTCTCTCTCATTTAATTATGAGAGGTTGTTGGATTTTCATTAGATTAGCACAATATGGTTAGGAGGACAGAAAGACTTCATTAATTTAGATAAGTGGTTATCAAAATAGCATATTTAGTCTTACACACAAAAATAGAATATTTGATGTAAATATTCATTATATTATATTAGTACAATGTGATTTATAACATTTTTGTCTAGTCGCCCATAATTCATGAGCTTTGTTTAAAGTATATAAAGGAATCTAACTTGATAAAACCATGTAAAGGTTAAAGGTAAAAATTCATATGATTTCAGCATAAATAACTTTAAGCCCCGAGAGATATAAGAAACGTACATTATGAAAATATATTAGCACAATATATTGTGTTATATTATACAACAAAATATTACATGATCAACCATACATATGAACTCAATGATGTTTTATTCAGTATGATTAATTTAGCAAGGTTTTAGATCGAGTAGCTAGACTATTACTATTATAGATCTTGCCTCTACGTATAACGGTTTAATAATATTACATGATGATTTGTTGTGAGGCAATTGGCTAATCGATCACTTATTCATGGCCTTCACCTGAAGGATTGTATCCATCACTAGGGGGTTTATATTTGTAATGTGGAGGGTTATATTTGCTGCCTGAAGGTTTTTATTCATCACTAGGAGGTTTATATTTGTCACCTGGAGGTTTGTATTCATCACTAGGGGGTTTATATTTGTCATATGGGGGGTTATGTTTATCACCTAGAGGTTTGTATTCATCACTAGGGGATTTATATTTGTCATGTGGAGGGTTATATTTGTCACTTGGAGGTTTGTATTCGTCACTAGGGGATTTATATTTGTCATGTGGAGGGTTATATTTGTCACTTGGAGGTTTGTATTCGTCACTAGAAGGTTTATATTTGTCATGTGGAGGGTTATATTTGTCACCTGGAGGTTTGTATTCGTCACTAGGAGGTTTATATTTGTCACCTGCAAGTTTGTATTCATCACTAGGAGATTTATATTTGTCATGTGAGTGGTTATATTTGTCACCTGGGGATTTGTATTCATCACTAGGGGGTTTATATTTGTCATGTGAAGGGTTATATTTGTCACCTGGAGGTTTGTATTCGTCACTAGAAGGTTTATATTTGTAATGTGGGGGGATATATTTGTCACCTGGAGGTTTGTATTCATCACTAGGGGGTTTATATTTATCATGTGCACCTGGAGGTTTATATTCATCACTAGGGGGTTTATAACCTGGCGGTTTATACTCATCACTAGGGGATTTATATTTGCCATGTGGGAGGTTATATTCGCCACACCGAGGTTTATATTTGTCATGTTGGGGGTTGTATTCGCCACTTGGAGGGTTGTATCCGCTATGTGGGGGTTTATTTCCACCACTTGGAGGCTTATATCCATTGTTATATGAACCATCAAGAGATTTATATCTGTTGTTATAATCGTCATGTGGGGGTTTATATCCCCTACCTGGAAAATTATATCCATCACGTGGAAGATAATATCCGCCACCAAAATATTTATATTCATCATGCTCATCTCTGGAATATCCGTCAATGTCATTATATCCATCATCGTGTACATCATCTGATTTCATTGCTACAAATATCAAATGTGAAATTTAAATACTGGCATAACATTGAATAAATGCCAAATAATTAGATAAGAAATCCAATATTTCAAATAGATAATTATTAAAAAAAAAAAAAAAAAACTTACAGGTCTCAGTCAACTCCTTAGCCACAACCTCAAAGCTTATTATTGCAAAAGTAACCAAAAAAATGCCTTGGAACCCATCATTTTTTTCTTTTTCAAAACTTAGTTATCCTAATTAAAGGATGAAGAAATTGATACAACATTGGGTTATATTTATACTAAAAAGAACTCAATGTATTAAAAATTGATAAACGGTCACTTATCACTTATCTTGCCCAACCATCATACATATATTATATTTCCTCTGTTTCAATTTATTTGTATTATATTCTTAATCTGTTTTTAAAAAGAAGGTAGTATAGCACCACAATATTTATCTGCATTTTGTGATGTACACTAAATAAAATAAGTGTTTATAGTTAAAAAATAAAATAAGCATAAATTATCAAATATTTTCTTGTGATGGGAGAGTGAATCTCATACAAAAGATGAAATATTTTTAAAAAATTATAATTTCAATACTTTACTAAAATCTCTAAGAGTAATAAATAACTAAAAGTTATTATTACATTTATCATAATGTAAATTTTGTACATATTTATTTTTTACGTAATTTCCTTTTCTTGAACTTTTTTTTTTTGGGTGGAAATTTCAATAAACACAAACTACTGCTCTAATAGACTAATACTAATAGAGTCATACTAATAAAAGAGCTTCTTAAATCTTACTTAAACATAAACTGCTATAAGCCTAGAACTATACAAAGAAATTTTTGGAAACACGTTTTAAAATACGTAAATTTTAAAAGTTTTCCCAAGTAGGTTCTAATTGCTCAAACAATTTTTATTGCGTTAGTTTTCTACTTCATATATTTGAAGTATATATTGCTATCATTTTTGGTGGTAGGTGATCGATTAGTACCTTCTATTTTTAATTATACGTTTTCAAATTTGAAATATTTGAGAAAAAAATTACTTTTGATAGGGAACACTATAATCCTAAAGTGGACCATTCCTGATAGAGAGGCTAAAGTAGAGTTGAGACGTCAGATTTATCTTGAATCTAATATTTTTTATGTGAAGCATAAATTTTATAAATAAAAATTTATTCAAATTGCAACAAATTTTATAAGAAGTGATGGTAAACACTTAGCCGGATTTGAATGAAAAAGAGCGTGTCTAACTAATCTATCTATATATAATAGGAGAAGAAAAAACGCCACATGTCAGCGCCACAAATTTTTAGAATTTTAAATAAATAATTAATTATTATATAACTATTATCTATCTATAAATAAAAAAAATTAAATAAAAATAGACACATGTCATCAACTTACACAAATCTATCTATACTAGATATAGGACCCCGTGCCAACACGGGGCCCAATATATATATATATTTTTTATTTTAATTTATGTCATATTATGGAATTTGAGAAGTTATTGAAATTTTTATATAATTTTTAAAATATTTTAAAATTTTAGCTATTGTGATTTGTAGTACTTTTTTTTAACATAATTTTGAAAAAAATATTTATTACTCTGTTTGTTCTAATTTATGTGGCACACACAGAATTTTAAATATTAAGCATTTTTTATATGTCTCTTTAATATATTAAGTTGTTAATTATTGTATTTTATTGTACATTTTGAACCTAATTTTTTAATAATATATGTTATTTGCCATGTCCCAATTTATGTGACATTAATTGATAGATTTGTTGGAGTCGAGAGATTTATTTTGTTAATTATTGTAATTTATTTTTATTTTTCCCGTCAATTTCAAACAATATATGTTGTTAATTGATAGAATACTTTTAATGTAATATTTTTTAAAAAAATATGTGTGACTCTCCATGTCCCAATTTATGTGGCACATGTAAAGTTTTGACAATTAACCAAAATTTTAATACATTTAAAAAAATATTTTTAAGTCATTAAATTTTAAGTAATAAGTAATTTAAATTGTTGTATTATTTATTACAATTTATAATACTTTTAAAGTAGTTAAAATATTGTACAATTTATTATGATTTATAACACTTTTTTTTTAAATTTATGTCATATTATGGAATTTGAGAAGTTATTGAAATTTTTATATGATTTTAAAAATATTTTAAATTGTTAGCTATTGTGATTTGTAGTACTTTTTTTAACATAATTTTGAAAATAATATTTATTAATCTATTTGTTCTAATTTATGTGGCACATGCAAAATTTCAAATATTAACCCTTTTTTATATGTCTCTTTAATATATTAAGTTGTTAATTATTGTATTTTATAGTACATTTTGAACCTAATTTTTTAATAATATATGTTATTTGCCATGTCCCAATTTATGTGGCATTAATTGATAGATTTGTTGGAGTCGAGAGATTTATTTTGTTAATTTTTGTAATTTATAAATTTTTTTTCGTCGACTATTTTTTTTTATTAATTATTGTAATTTATTGTTTCTTTTTCGTCAATTTCAAACAATATATGTTTATCATATAATTCATTTTATGTGGTACCAATAGAATTTAGAGACTCAATTAAATTTTGTATATAAGTTTTAAATAATTAAGCTGTTAATTATTGTAATGTATAGTATTACTTATAGTATTTTAAATATATTTAAATATTATATGTTAGGTTTTTTATCCTAATTTATATGGCATTGATAGAATTTAAAGTGTCAAATAATTGTTAATTATTGTAATAGATAATATGGAGTATTTAAGTCATTTATAGTATAGTATAATTAATATATAATATGTAGTATTTAAGTGTTATATTATGGAATTTGAGAAGTTATTGAAATTTTTATATGATTTTAAAATTTTTTAAACTGTTAGCTAATGTGATTTGTAGTACTTTTTTTTTTACATAATTTTGAAAATAATATTTATTACTCTATTTGTTCTAATTTATGTGGCACATGCAAAATTTCAAATATTAACCATTTTTTATATGTCTCTTTAATATATTAAGTTGTTAATTATTGTATTTCATAGTACATTTTGAACCTAATTTTTTAATAATATCTGTTATTTGCCATGTCCCAATTTATGTGGCATTAATTGATAGATTTGTTGGAGTCGAGAGATTTATTTTGTTAATTATTGAAATTTATAGTTTCTTTTTCGTCAATTTCAAACAATATATGTTGTTAATTGATAGAATACTTTTAATGTAATTTTTTTTTTAAAAATATGTGTGACTGTCCATGTCCCAATTTATGTGGCACATGTAAAGTTTTGACAATTAACCAAAATTTTAATACATTTAAAAAAATATTTTTAAGTCGTTAAATTTTAAGTAATTTAAATTGTTGTATTATTTATTACAATTTATAATGCTTTTAAAGTAGTTTAAATATTGTACTATTTATTATGATTTATAACACTTTTTTTTAAAATTTATGTCATATTATGGAATTTGAGAAGTTATTGAAATTTTTATATGATTTTAAAAATATTTTAAATTGTTAGCTAACGTGATTTGTAGTACTTTTTTTTAACATAATTTTGAAAGTAATATTTATTACTCTATTTGTTCTAATTTATGTGGCACATGCAGAATTTTAAATATTAACCCTTTTTTATGTCTCTTTAATATATTAAGTTGTTAATTATTGTATTTTTTTAGTACATTTTGAACCTATTTTTTTAATACTATATGTTATTTGCCATGTCCCAATTTATGTGGCATTAATTGATAGATTTGTTGGAGTCGAGAGATTTATTTGTTAATTATTGTAATTTATAGTTTCTTTTTCGTCAATTTCAAACAATATATGTTGTTAATTGATAGATTTTTTGGAGTGGACTATTTTTTTATTAATTATTGTAATTTATTGTTTCTTTTTCGTCAATTTCAAACAATAGATGTTTATTATTTAATCTATTTTATGTGGTACCAATAAAATTTAGAGACTCAATTAAATTTTTTATATAAGTTTTAAATAATTAAGCTGTTAATTATTGTAATGTATAGTATTACTTATATTATTTTTAAATATATTTAAATATTATATGTTAGGTTTTTTATCCTAATTTATATGGCATTGATAGAATTTAAAGTGTCAAATAATTGTTAATTATTGTAATAGATAATATGGAGTATTTAAGTCATTTATAGTATAGTAATTAATATATAATATGTAGTATTTAAGTGTTATATTATGGAATTTGAGAAGTTATTGAAATTTTTATATGATTGTAAAAATATTTTAAATTCATAACTATATATTTCAATGTACAAGATTTTGATAAAATAAAATCTTTAAAGTTAAATTATAATGTTTTTGAAATTTAAATTATTAAAACATATATAATGATTTTATAGAAAAAATAATATCATATAAACTTAAATGAAAAGGATAATAAATTCAACTTTTACCATGATAAGGTTGAAAAGTATTATTTAATTGGAAGGAGGTGGGGCCCACTTATATATTTTATATAGTAAGTATTGGACATTTGTAATGATTTAATTGGAACAATGGTAGCAAATCCTAGACTCTTCTAATATATAGTAATATAGTAATATAGTAATATAATAGGAGAAGAAAAAATGGCACATGTCAGCGCCACAAATTTTCAAAATTTTAAATAATTATTAATTAATAATTAAATATTGTAAATTCAAAATTTGAAATAAAAGTAAACACATGTCATCAAGTTACCCAAATAATGAAAACTGTCAACATTAAAAAAGGTTTTCTTTTTTAAAATCAAAATATAAAGCCGTTGCAGTTTTTTTGTTTTTTTAATAGTCAATTGATTTTTTATATTTAAAAAAAAATACGAATAGTGTTGCAAAACTTTCAAACAATGAATTTCAATTCTACTCAAACTCAATATACAAGACAGTTTAAATTGAAAAATGAGGATAATTTTTTCTGTTTTCAAAATAGTCAATTTAAAAAATATAACCGTACCATTTTAAAAAAAAAGT